GCGATGTTCTGCTGGGAAACCTCGTGTCCTGGCGTTCATGTGGATGTTACTTTGACACGTCTCACCTACCTAAACACTGTCGCAGACCAAGTACACACCTTCACCTTCACACACCTAAAAGCAAGTGGTCTCTTTCAGCAGGATAATGCTCCTTGACACACTGTAGAAATTGTTCAGGAACGGTTTGAGGAACATGACCAAAATTTCACGGTGTTGACTCGGCTTCCAAATTCGCCAGATCGAGCATCTGTGCGATGTTCTGGACAAACAAGTCCGACCCATGGAGGCCCCACCTCGCAACTTACAGGACTTCAGGATCTTCTGCTAACGTCTTACCACAGCACACCTTCAGAGGTCTTGTGGAGTCTTGATGGGTCAGAGAAGAACATAACTACCAGGGTTTTCTAAAGATATTACCTAAAGACATTTCTTAAGACATTATATCAAATATATATATATATACTGTATCAGTATTAACGTCGTCGTCTCCGACCTCCAGCTACCACCAACGCAACTGTTTGAGGAGTTTGATGATCATTTCTACTTGTAGTCAGTAACACTGAAAAGGCGGAGAAACCAATCTCCTCACACCTGCAGGGTCCAGGGTTCGATTCCCACCGTGGCCATGTGTGTGTGCGGAGTTCGCATGTTCTCCCCGTGCTGCGGGGGTTCCCTCCGGGTACTCCGGTTTCCTCCCCCAGTCCAAACACATGCATGGTAGTCTGATGGGCGTGTCTAAAGTGTCCGTAGTGTATGAATGGGTGTCTGAGTGTGTGTGTGAGTGTGCCCTGTGATGGACTGGAACCCTGTCCAGGGTGTACCCCGCTTCGTACCCCATGCCCCCTGGGATAGACTCCAGGTTCCCCGTGACCCTGAAGAAGGAGTAAGCGGTATAGAGGATGAATGGATGGATGGATGACTCAAAGGATTAGAACATATGATCATTGTTTATTATTTGCGCTACCGTTTGGTTTAGTAATAATACACCGTTATGAAGACTATTCGAATTATTTGAACAGATATGAGAGCGCTGAAGGCTGCATCGCGAAACCGATGACTAAAGACCCAACCGCTCACAGGACTTTCCAATCTGAGGTGGAATCTCCCCAGTGCGTAGTCAATGACATGCTAATTTATGTAAGAACTGCCTCAAATAGCAGTTTTATTGCGTGAGCTGAAGCACCTGTCTGCCAGAGATAAGTGCTAAGATGAAGTTTAATCTCAAGCCCCACTTTTATCTTATATTTACTGCACAAGTTCCAGGGTTTCAATCCAGCCTCGGCAAAGCAGGAAGTCAAACGATTCCTCTGTATTTATTTCCCCCCCACCTCATTTCGAGTCTGCGTTTGTATTGTTTTACTTAAAGTATAACTCACGCTGATGTTTCCTTCCCTTACACTATAAATCATTTGCATATGTGTGTGTTTGCGTGTGTGTTTAATGAGATATATACATCATTTCGGGCAGAGCTCTTTCTCAGCGTCACACTGAGAGAAGCAATTACACTGCACCGAGATTTCTATCATCCAATCGCTTGAAAATAACCGGATCTGTTCTCATAGTACACGTCACAAGTATTCACCCCCCACACACACACACACACACACCCGCTTGAACTCTTTATCCACGTTACAGCGTGGAATTGAAATGTAGCCTTTGATTTAAACACGTCAAACATATTTCAGTGCAACACAAAGATTAAACATTTGCTTGTTGGATAAATATTCACACACACACCCCGCCCCCTTCATCTCCCACCCCCAATCCCAATCCACCCCTCCCCTTTCCCCAGGCGAATATCATGTTTTGGTGCGATTCCAGCTGCAGGTTTTCAGGAGCCTGATATTTTTCTTGGCCAAATTGCTCAAGCTCGGTGAGACCGGATGCACAATTCTTAATCTGAACTCTTAATCCATTGTGAATCTCTCACAAACGGATACCGGTTTTCCTCTGGGACTACATCGTTTCATCCATTATACCTTCAAGCCTGACCAGTGTCCCAGTCCCTGCTCATGAAAATCATCCTCATAACATCATGCTACCACCACCATGCTTCACAGTGGGGGTGGTGTTCTCAAGCGGATGAGCGGTGTCGGGTGTCTGCCAAACGTAACACACTGTGTCAAGACCAAAAAGGATACATTTTTGAGGACATGCTTGCTGAGTCTCCAACACTGGCTTTCGGATGTATTTTTGTTTTTCTTTCTTTCAATAATTCCTCCTTCTTGCTTTGTGAATCTGTGAATGGCTTTCTCCCCTCTGAGCGCCTTCAGAGTTACCCTTGGACTCGGTTGTTTTTTCTGACCAATGCCCTCTTTACCCGGTCACTGACATTCGTTGGACGGTCTCCCCTAGGCAGAGTCGCAGTCGTGCCAAATTCTTCCTGACGCTTTGTAATTGATTGCGTGTCACTCTGCGGGACGTTCGAATTTCTTTCGAACAGTACCCCGATTGACGCTGCTCCAGAATTTTGTCGCAGACGTACTTTGATTGCGCCTCGGTTTTTGCTGTCTTCGTGTTTCCGTGCTCTAGCGTGACATAATGCGGAAACAAAATCAAGAGGTTGAATACTTATGCAACATTATAGGCTGATGAGTGTACTGTTTACTGGGGTCCTCACATCGCTCCCACTACGCAGAACAAAGACAGCATTATGAGTCGAGTATAATCGCTGTAGACATGCGTCATGAAACGTAGTTCCGCAGTAAAGAGGAAGTATTGTATGTTCAACGGGCAGCAGACATTCCTCTGTGTAAAGGAGCTTCGTTTTCTATTTGTCCTTCAAATTTAAATCAGCGCTTCTGCATATTGGATGTATAGGTCACTCTGACGCAGCTGGATTATTGTTCATATCACACGGAAGGGTCGTTGTGGTTGAAAAACACTGATTATTCATCAGTTGTTGGTGTCAATCAATCAAAGACTCAAGACCAGAAGATTCTTTTCTTGAATATGGTTCTTCTATCATTCCTCATTTTCAGGTGTATATATATATATATATATATATATATGAATAAAACACTTCATGTTATGATGTTATAGAAGTAACGCTGTGCCAAGTTAGTTTCTGTTCTCACTTGGAGTACATTACAGCAGCTAGGAGCAGTTGTTCCATCACCAGAGTCTCTTTCTTCTCTTTCGGGAAGTTAATAATACAACATAAAACGCAGCTTTTCGTGTTATCCAGAATCCATAAAGCGTAAACTCCTCAGTCCTGAAATCTGTTCCACGCCAGAAATCGTACTGACTGTTACAAAAAGCGCTGACTGCTGGAGCCTCCTTGCATCAACGCTGAATAAACCTCTCCTTACAGACAGCTCTCTGACAAGCGTCCACCACACAAGTCCCTATGAACGAGCCGTTCCTATAGAAACGACAACGCATCAGAGCGAGAGCGTCCCGAGTGAATCAACGCCGCCGGACCAATCAGAATCCAGAATCCGACAGCAACTTTTCACATCAGTTCCGGAAACGGTCTTCGTATGTTTTCGATCTCACGAAACATCGTTTTGGAGCGCCTTTAATTTGAACAATGCTTTCCTGACATCTTCAAACGGCTTACACACACACACACACACACACACACAAAAAAAAGACCTGACGTTCGGGCCACTGCTGGAGCTTTCTCGTCATGTTCCGCTGTGTAAACATTACATTTGGACCCCGCTCACGCTGCCTTTCCAAATAAAGTATTTGTATGCGCGCACTCCCACGCGGTTGAATATTTCATAAGAAGTCAGTAACCTGGTAGTCTTGTTATGTTCACCTACTAAACATCCGATGTTATCACAGAAACGTAGAAAAACAAGCATGACTACTAAACAACAAATAACACACACACACACACACACACACACACACACACACACACACAAAGCATTACGTTTACACCCACTGTATTATTTTGGTTCGAGTTTAAAATGTCAATAGCTTGACAATGAAAATATTAACATCGGGTCATGCATCCTGTCACAAGGTCTGCTCGTTTCTCCTCCAAAGGCATTTTGGTTGGGGAAAAAAAAAAATCACTTAAAAAAGATGATGCAGTAAATACTCGACCTCACGTGTTCACGTGTGTATGAATAACAGCGCGGATGGGGATGAAATCTTCACTCTGTGTAATCACCTGACACGACTAAGTCTGTAGTCTAGACTAGAAAGAAATCAGCTCCAGCCTCGCTTCTTTTCCTCGTGTCTTTGTGTACATCTTTTTCTCATGACTGTTGGTGGTGCTGTTGCGCCCAGTTCCACAAATATCTGAACCCATCTGCTAAGGGGCTTAGCCGTGCTAGCGTATTTGTATCACGTACGCAACCGTGACCAAACAACAGCAGTGTCAGTCAGGTTACTCGGGTTACGTTTGTTGGTAAATCAACTACAACAAAACTTGAAGATACCCCTGGAGATAAGCAGGGTTGAGGCTGGACAGCACCTGGATGGGAGACCTCCTGGGGAAAGAAAAGGTTCCTGCTGACCATGAATAGATTTATTTGGCGTTCGCTCTGTACTTCGACAAGCCTAAGCACGAGCTAAGTGTTTAAATTGAGTAAATTAACTGTCGTTATCTACACTTCCACGGTCCAGTGTAGATAATTAACCGCGTCCAGGTGCTGCCCCATGGTAGCTCCGCCCTCTGTGGACTCGGGTGCTTCATCAGTCCTTTTGCACTTATTTCTAAAAACACAAAACTTCAAAAATTGCCCATTTGATAAAGTAAACACACAGAATGGCCGTGTTAGGCTACTCATGTTAAAGATTCTCGGCAGAGCCTGTTAGTAAAACCGCTCGCACTTTTATTATTATTAGGAATTACGCAAATCTCAATGGTTACAAGCTTGGACTCAAAGCTCACCGTGGAACCATAGATTTGGCGTAATGCTCTAACGCTGCGGTATATTTGACACTTTTGGCAGATGTTCTCATCCTTACCTTTATCTCATTTATACAACTGAGCGGTTGAGCGTTAAGGGCTTTGCTCAAGGGCCCAGCAGTGACATCTCGGCAACGTTTGAATTTGAACTCACGACCTTCCGAGCAGAAGTCCGACGTCTTAACCACTGCACCACCACTTG